TATCAGAGGAAGACTTGGAAAAGTTTGGGCGTTTTTCGTTTGTTTTTGTTTTTAACCTGAAATCAACTCTTTATTGCCTACAATTCTGAAAAACAGATTTATTCTATCATAAAAGAAAGGGTAGGCAATTCTGAACAATCTCAGAATAGCCTCAGATCTGTTTCCACTATAGGCAGGCCTATATGAATCCTTGTAAGAGAATCAAGCAAAAAAAATACTGGAAACTTCTATGGTGTCTCCTCTTCTCTCCTGGGCCTCTTCTGAACATTCCGGCGCAGAACCAAGTGAAGCTGCTTTCCTGTATGGTCAGCAGAGAGACTCCTGAACTCTTAGGAAACACCCTTTGACCTATTGAGCACGAAATGCAATTCTAGTTAGGGGAGAAAAGAATGAATTCCAACTTAGAGAAAAGAAATTTTCCCACTGTAAACTAATGCACTGAGCTGCTCCTTCTCCTCAGTCTGGACAGTCCAAGTACAGGCCCCTCTGAGCACACTCATGGATACAAAGTAGGTCTAAATTTCTAGAACGAGTATTTTATTGGCATTTCTTTCCCAAGACCAGTATCTGCAGAGCTTGCTGAGTTTTCATTATTTAATCACATTTTAATATGTTGAAAATTCATGCAGTTGTGACATTTTATCAGCCTTTTCTTAGAATGACATTCCTTTTATTTTCACCAGTTCAGTATACAGCTGCACAGCACACTAATGCTAGGTAAAAACAGAGAGACTGAATCACAATGAAATTTGAAAAGAGCATTTCCTTTAAAGAGAAGCAGAAACAACTCTCAGAGTCCATAATCAGTGACTAAATTCTACATTATTTTAAATTTACTCATTGCTACAAATAATCATTGGTGACAATACTACTTTGATCCGAAAATAAAGCAGGGGCAAGATTTGGTCTACGTATGTTTGCAATTTGTGATGTTCATACTTGTATATTATTTTGTATCCATACACTTATATAAAACACAATAATAAAAGTATTCCACAACAATAAACAGGATATATTGTACAGCTTATAATTTACGGCATATGATAAAACGGATATCACATCCTATAGATTTTATGACATAAATTAATAAATAGACAATCATATATTAATTTTAAAATTTAACAACAACAACAAAAAGATAAAAGAGGAAGATATCACACATAATGAGACTGATTCATCATTACTGCTTTTACTCCAGATCAGGGTCCTGACAATTTTCCGTCACGGGAGACTTGGAAGTAATGAGGTAATGAATCACAGTCAATATGTACAATATGGCAGAGCTGCAGTATTTTAAGAGCAACCTGAATTTCTGGAATCTGAGTGCTTGAGCTTGTGACCCTCACATTGAGTTATCCACACTTAGTGCCTCTGCCTGCCTGCCTGTTTTATATATATATATAAACAAAACAACTGTTTTTAGTCTTATGATATACACCAGCTTTGAAGTACTTTAAGGAGGAAACAACAAAAAGAGGCTTCTGAGAAAATGTTATGAGAAATTAACACCAGGGATTGAGTCAGAAGTAGAAATTCAGCTTCTTTTTGTTTCACAACAAACCAGAAGCAAGCGATGGATCCCACGGCAGTCCAGGGGATCCAATCCACTTACACAGTGGCTGATATGTTGGCTTCTAATGATAAGTGGCACCTTAAGTATCTAATCACTCTATTTATAGGACTGAAACTCCTAAACTACTTTAGAACATTCATATACTTTACATACTGCAAAGCAGGCAAACGCGAATTAATTATAAAAATGGTTATAATATAAATACTAGCTTTTAAAGCCCACGATAACCAGGATGTATCATAATGTTCCAACAACTATACGTATATACCTAATTCAGCTGTGCTGAAACTCTCCAGCAGTCATATGTAATAGAAAAATAGCAAGCCAGTGTTGTGGGCAGACTGATGTCTGTTATTCTCATGCTTGCTGCCCACATTTGCATTATAAACTAAAATATCAGGAGAAGACTGCCATGGGACAAAAAGCATGGAATGCTGTTCAAGAATGTGCAAAGCCAGGTGGCCCAGGAGGTGAAGGCTAACATTTGACACTAAAGGTGGTATTTTTGGCTGCTGAAGCTGCTTGGGCTTCCGTTAGTTGCGGCTGCTCCAGCTACTTGCACAGCAGGATGCTGAGGCCTAAGGGAGAGGCTGCAAAACAGACCTCAGAAGTGCCCTGGGGATAGGTTTTGGGTCAGGTTTTGCTGCCACAGATGGGCAGTTTGTCCTTAGAGCTCTGACAGAGACATGGGGGCTGAAGGGTTAAAGGCGGCTGGCAATTTTACATCTGCATTAGATTTGAAGGAACAGTATGTTTCACACTTTAAACCAATGTTTATTTTACCACAGAACCATCACAATCTACACTAGGCTGCCAGAGTGCATCCTCTCTGATCTATCCCATGCTACACAGGAGCACAACTTTCAAAGACACCTATTTGTACATCTGGTAACCACTTCTGTCTCCATTACTTTTGAGTGTGGAAACTCTTTGGGACACACATACGCACACATGAAAAAAACCAACTAATCAACAAACAAAACCCCCTTTTCTTTCTTGTTGCTGTCAGAAAGAGGAAGTGGGAGGTGGTAGGTCACCGTTTCCTGGTCCCACTATTGCCACTGACAGACCTGCTGAAGCTCTTACTCATCTGTGGGAAGTGCACGGTTGGCGTTCTCTCCGTGGGGCCGTAGAGCCCTAAATTCCTGGCCGTGGCTGACTTTCGGAGCGGCTTGACACTGGGAAAAGGGTTGAAGACCTGTGGCTTGGGGGTACTGGGCTGAGGAGATTTACTCAGGTTTGCGCCGTCGCTGGATGCAGCAGAGGATTCAGATAAACGTGCCTGGCAGGATGGAGTGGATGTGGACCCAGCACCAGCTTTGGTGTCCAAGGTGAGGTCCAGCGCCTCCAGTTTCAGCTGAACCACGGACATGTCTGTGCCGGGGTCCTCAGAGACGGGCTGAGCAGACTGCCCGTCGGCTTCTTGGGGAGTCCTCTCATCCAAACCACCACCTCCTCTTTCTCCTAGATCAGGATGTGCAGAAGTTGCCTCCTTTGCCCCAGGGCTGTTGGTTTTACAGCTCTCACTCTGCTCATCTATGAGTCCAATGGTGTCCCCATAGCCCAGCTGGCCTTTGGCCCTGGCAATGTTCTTCCGATGAACTCGTATGTGGGTGCGCCACGGCGAGTTGAGCTTTGCCTTCAGATCTTCCTGGGGAATAGGGGACATTTTCCCTGTCGCGTGGCTTGGGATGTGAATGACGGCATTCTTGAGAGACCTGTTATTGGACTTCATCTTCTTGCCTAAAAGGAGGTGGTTTATCACCGGGGAATAGTTTACCTGAGAAGGGAGCAGGCTGGTAACTGGTCCTTTGTCTGAAAGAAAGTGTTTAAAAGAAACACAGGGTTGTTAAAGATCAAAACAAATTACTGTCCTAAGAATCTACCACCAGAGACAATTTTGATGCCTTTCTTGAGGTATAGCAGAGTCCGTAGGACTGACTCTAGTAAGATGACTGAATTTCTCTTACATCTTGGAGTCAAACAGAAAGCCAAAACTTGCACGATACCTGCTTCTTACCTATGGGTAAGTCTTGCACCAGATATTCTATGAAAATAATGGGCATCAAGAAACAGCTCTGCATTTTTTAGAACTGCAAGAATGGGAACTACAGAAAACTGGGTAGTCACAGAAAACACTTGCACGTCCACAACACAATCCCTTCATTGGGTAGAGTCTTGTGCAAGTTTTTTGCTGTTAATGGTATTTTTTGCTATATAAACTGAAAGTTTAATATAAATATTAGCCTCTGATTTTCCCCCACTCTTTCATTTCTCTTCCAACTGTAAGAAGCCATTCAGTCCTTACATGATGTCAGCCAAATAAGCCTCTCCACGAGGCCTATATGACTGAAGAATGAGCCAGTATATTTTTAGTGGATGAAAACACAGCAACTCATTTCTAGTAGGTACTCTGATTAAACTGGAGCCCCGACTCAGTATTAGGTATCAGTTTGATTAAACCACAAACCTGGTCATTAATAATGATTAGTAAATTAGAAAGATATTTTTTAGCAATCCTTGGGAGTCAACATCTGTTTGCACTGTTTCAGCATGGCTACTGCCTTTGTCCAAAGCAGACACCTTGCTTGATATAAATGAGCTTAGTGGTCATGCAAAGTTGCAGCTGTATGGACTCAAATGCCCCAGGTAGGATGGGCTTATCAAATCTAGGAGAGGAATAAACTTCTTTACAGTGAAGAGATCCACCTGCAGGGTTCAATGCTGGCTTGGTAAGAAGGCCCCTAAGTGGGTGTACTGTGTGCAGCCTGCATACAGGTCCTCTGCTCACGCCTACCCTGGTGCTCTCTGGTTTGTCAATTGTGAAAATAGACGTAACGTAGCTTGAAGCAGGCTAAATAACAGACTAATCTCCAGCTACATTCTCATATCAATGTTGCTTGAACTAGACAGACTATCAACTGCAACAGACCAATTAAGCCGCCTCCCTGATCTGCCCCGCGCTGGGGACCTCCGGGAAGTTAGGCTGATATGCACCAGCCACCCACTCTCCATCGGAAGCGTCTCACTTCACTTTTTACAGTGCACCTCTATGTCAACTCCAAGAATGCCAAAGATTTAATTTCTTAAATCACAGAGATCAACAAAATGCACCCAGACAGCAAAGACACCTTTAAATACCATTGTTCAGTTGGTCCCTGGGACCCAAAGAGATCCCAGGGTCATCATCTTCAGATCCTGACAAAAGAAGAACAAAACCATCATCTTCTCATTTACAATTTGTGTGTATGAACTGACACATCCACTTCATTACAAATATATTATATACTGTATCCTCTTTTGTTTCCTCTATTTGGTTAAATGTAAAAGAATATTATTTGACTTGCCTCCTATTATGCCAGCTTGTAAATCAATAAGTAAAGTTTGTTTCAGTATGTTACCTGCTCTGATGTACACATGGTGAACCTGCTGCTGCTGCTTCTTCTTTATCCTGGAATATTGCTTCTTCAGAGCATTTATGTCAGTGGTCATACGCTCCATCATCATGCTGTTAAAAGCAGCATGATATTCACTTCGGCAAGAGTCTATTGCTCCTGGACTTAGTTCTGCGATGTTGCTGGAGCCCAGACTTTGTTCTTCATTCTGATCTGCACAGAGTAGGAATAAAGAGAAGATGAGGAATACATCAGCACAGTCAAGAGTTCCTCAGACGACCTGCAAGCATATACCTATAGTCTTTATTTACCTATAGTCTTTAATGAAAACAACTGCTTTCATTTAACACAGCTGCTATAATTTAAAAAAAGTATCGTATCTCTAAAATAATACAATTGTGGAAATATTTTTAAAAGAGTAAAAACCAATTAACCTAGCAATGGAAAGCGTGGAAATCCATTTACAAACTACCTGAAAACATACCAAGCCATCCCTGAAGTAAGCCAAAAATTACCTGAGACTCTGGTTTGGTCAAAGAGGAGCAAGTTATAATGCAAGTTATAAAATACATTACAGCCAGGCAGGCGAGGGGTTGAAGAGTGACCTGGGGCTCGGAGGCAGAGGCCGTATGGGCCCCTGGGAGCCGGCCGCCGCAGCAGGCGCAACGGC